TGACATAGAAATCAGCTGTATTGTACTCACTTCAGGTTATCCCTTCTCTGCAAAACCCCTTGCTTCAGCACTACAACCCTCCAGGGAAAAAGGATCTTGAGAGCTTGTGGGAAGGAACTTACAGTGGGGTGAAGCTCTGGATGCACTGCATCCCCACAACAGGCCGCTTCTCTCTGCCTCTCCAGACTTTATTCTTGAATTAAAGCTTCATTAAAGCCAAATGATTATAGAAATTCAAGTATCTCCGGTGGTGGAAGAGAATGAAAGGATCCTGGTAATAAACTGCAACCAGACACCTTACATGGCCTGACTGCCAATTTCCAGATCTTAAAGCTGCAGTAACAATGCACAGAACCACCAAAGCCTTGCATTTGCTCACTGTAAAATCTAAATGTCCCCCTTTCCCTCTGCTGCCTCACTGAGGATTGTTTGGTTTAGAGAAGTATTTTATTTTTGTAGAGTTTGATTTAGAGCAGGCCTCAGCAAAATACCCTCCACAGGCCAGATCTGGCTCAGGAAGCCACCAGATCTGGCCCATGGATACAGCGGGAAGCCTCAGGCAGACTCCTTGCCTGCCCCCCACACGCTGCTGAGAAAAGTGGCCCTTGTGGGACTCCGTTTGAACAGCTGTGAGCCCTGGGGTGGGGAAAGATGCTTCATGCATTATCTCTGCCCCCTGCACAATCCCATTGGCTGGTTTCCAGCCAATGGGAGCTGCCTCTTGTCAACAGGCAGCTTGCGAAGCACCCTCCCCTCAGGCTTGTAGCGATTCAAAAATCACATGACTCCTGTAGCCAGTGCGGGGGCAGGGAGGGTAGGGAGGTCTGCTTGGGAAAACTGTTGGCTAGGAATCAAGCTGACATAATCACGATTAGGATTAGAAAGTCCACCTTGAAAGAGAGTAATGAGAGGGGGCACGTGCCAAGAGGCTAGAACGGTGGTCCCATGAGCCATGCCAAGACCAGGTTCAAGTCCCACAATGGGAGAAGATTCTGAGTCTAAGGGAAGAGCAGTTCCTGGCCCTTCAGGAACCAGGATGTTATGTCGTGTGCGAAAACAGAAGGGCCTCGCAAGGGCACATAAAATGCAGAAATGGCCACTCAGTGGACTCTGATTGTGGCTAGGGCTAGCCACTGCTGTTTCAGGTGGTGCAAGTAATCCAGGATCTTCTGAAGGGATGCTTCAGACGGGCTGATTCACAGCTGTTGTGCTCACTCAAAAAACCGTGTAGTGCGGGGCTCCTTAAGCCCATGCAGTTTATTATCGGTCTGCTCTGCAAAAGGGCACCAGTGTCAAGAGCAGGTCCTGAATGAAGTTCTATGCCTCCGGAGAAAGGCCCAAAAGGAGGAGTTAAGACGCGGAAAAACGTCCCTAGGTGGATGTGGCAAGTAAGGGGATTGATTCTCCCTGCAGTGCTGCTGGTGCTGGGGGACGTGTGCCTCTTTAGGTCGGTGCATCGACTCTGGAGATATGGAAGACCTAGTGTCCTGCTCATGTCTCTTTCTCACAGCTACGAGATGCTACCCTCTCAGAGAAAGGAGAGTGGGATTTGATAGTACTCAGTGACTGAGGGCCAAACTGTGGTTTCCCTCTATACCAAGTTTCAGGTGGTGTTGGGGGTGGTGGTACCAGCATGGCCTGTACGTCATGGGTGGAGGGAAAACTGATCTTCAGTACTAGGGACAGTGAAAGCTTGGTACTGCCAGAGGCTTTTCCTGCTGCCTATTGGTTGACTGGCCACCCTTCTTCCCCTTATCCTTACAAGGGGACTTGTCTCTGCCCAACTTTCTTTGGTGGTTTGCTGGGGCTGGTGGCAGTGAACGTGCCATTGACACGGGGGGCACGCTGCACACTTATGCACCGTTGCTCAGTGACGAGTCTGACTGCTGATCTTGCGGAGCTAGCACAGACTCCATTAGCAATGCCCAGAGCTGAATTCCCCTTTCTTTAATAATTAGGGGCCGGAAGGATCTGCAGATGCGACACTTCTCCAAAATGTGTCCTTCCCCAAGGCAACAAAGGCAGTCAGCATCTGGATTTCTGAATGGCATAGGCCTGCAGCACACAGTGCAGGCTTTGAAGCCAAGCAGCAGGATATGCCCTATCCCCCAAGCAAAGTGTCTAAGAAGAATAAAAAAGGTCACAGAGCTATTTACAGGCACTTCATTGAGGAGATAACTGTCTACAACACAATAGGATTAAGGGACATGCTAATACAGCTCAGGCTGGAGCACCCTGTTCCAAGCATTAGCACTGGCTTCTGGAAGGAACTGAGGGAGGGGCTGGGGTGCAAGATTCTCTGTAAATTGTGTGGCAGCACAGCTGCGCAGCAGTTTAATGGGCCCCGCCCAAAGGCTCAGAGCTCCCCTGCAGGGAGCTCAGCTGATGGACTGGGAGAGGGGCTTTCTCTTTGAGCAGCAGCAGCAGCAGCAGCTGCCTGCTAAAAATGGAAGAGCTCAGAGAGCAGTTAGGGAGAGGAGATAAGGAAAAGAGAAGGATGGAGTAAATGGCTGGAAGGCGGGAGTTGTATGGTAGGGGACTTTGGGCAGATGAGGAGGAGGGGAGTAAGTGGCTGGGGGGAGCTGGAGGGGAGGGGAGTTTGGGGAGTCCCGTCTCCTGGCTTGGCAGCCTGACAAGCCTGACAAGGAGACAGAGTGGATGAAACAGACAGACAGAGTGGACAGAACTTTTTACCCAATACACTATAGATACAACCATATGAAAATGTGGCACCAGCTCCAACAACTCAAAGATGTTCATTCACTACAAACTCTATTATGCAAGAGAAAATAATTGAAAAGATCATAACTCACCTGATTTCCTTTGTCAGTAGATTTGCACATATCTTCCTTGTCCAGGCAACATTGCCCTGTTCCTCTCAATTGACAACATGTTCCTTCCTAAAGAAATAATATCCTGTTCAGTATCATTCTAGACTCAACTTCATTGAAATGTGATTTCTTTTGAAATAAATATTTGCAGGGGCGGCCCGAGGCGGGCTGCCGGCAGCTGGCACCCTAGGTGGAATGTGCGATCGGCGCCCCCGCCTCCACAGCCCTCAATGGCATGACATCATCATTGGGTGCCCCGTTTAACGCGGTGCCCTAGGTGACAGCCGAGTCAGCCTATACGCACGGGCTGCCTCTGAATATTTGCATATGTATGTATTTCTTCCTGTGCTGAAGCAGATTTGTCCAGTCACTTGAAACTACCCATGTGCCATGGTTACTATTCATGGGTTCAGGAGCTACGCATGAGCCAAAGTTACTATTCTTGCTGTGTCCCTTTTGAAGCACTGCAGGAGTTGGTTCATCTTGTAGGGCCCAGTCCAGCTCCTCTTGATGTCACTGGAAAACCTCCAAGTTCAATAGGGGTTGGATAAGGCTTCTAAAGCAGAACAGAAGCTGGCACAAAGGATTATTGAGTGCACTGGAGAAGGACTAGGTAGACGTGGCTAAACATGTCCTGCTATAACAGGCCTGGGCAAAATACAGCCCGTGGGCCAAATCGGATCCACCAAGCTACTGGATCCGGCTCGCGGAGGCTGTGGAGAGCCCTAGGCAGGCTCTCCTGCTTGCGCTGTAGCCCCACACACCATTCAGAAATGCAGCTGTGTGGTGCTTTCTCTTGGAGTCTGGAGGGGAGGGGGGAAGATTCAGATGCTGCTCCTGCCCCCAGCACAATCCCATTGGCCTGTTTCTAAACAGACACTGGCCAATGGGAGCTGCCTTTGTGAATAACAGACAGCCACAAAGCACAACCCTCCTACTCACTCACTCAAGCACATGGCCGAGCAGGCAGAAACATTTTAAGCTCTGCAAGCCTTTAGCTCTGCAGGAAGGCAGGCAGGTAAGTCTCCTGGTGAGAACCCGCCTCTGGCACCTGATCCCTTCCCTTCCCCAACCCTCTGCCCCACACTCCTGCCCCGCTACTCCACATGCACCCATACCCCCTCCAAGATCTGGCACCCCAATCTCCTACCCGAGATCACAATTCCGTCCTACCCTAGGTCATATCCCAAAACCCTGCACCCTAGTTCCCTGCCATAGGTCACAACTACCTTTCTTCACCCAAACTCCCTCCCAGACTCCATTCGCCCTCCTGCACCCCAATCCCTTACCCCAAGCTCCTTTCTGCACCCACACTCCATCTCAGACCCCGCACCTCCTCCATTAATACCATGGAAGAGTGCGGCCCTCAACCACTTTCCAAAATCTTGGGAGTGGCCCCCATAAAAAATTATTGCCCACCCCTGGATTAGATCTGCTTCATTTTTGTCTACAAAAATCAGGTCTTATCCAAGAAAGATATCAATTTAGTTTGACATGAATCTACCTTTGGAAAATCCAAGTTGCATATCATCCCATTTTCCATTTATGTCCAGGTATGAACTCATTCTTTCACTTAGCTGCTTGTTGCAATCAAAGGCAATAGCTTAGCAAGCTTTGAAGATGTTATCAAGGGGTTTTCCCTAATTTTTTTTAATGATTCTCCTGCTCCGCTCACTCAATAAGTTCACCCAAGAAATAATTTGTGAACCCTTTTGTTACTATATCAGGTCTGTAGATACTCATGGTGTCTTCCCACTCCTTTAATCATAACAATTGTCACCCTCTTATATTAATATCTGTGCATGTGAAAAGGAAAGTGACTTTGAGTTTTGATCTTTAAAACTTGAGGCAAGATAAAATATTTACATGTGTATCAATGCCTCAATTAGTGCTTCACTTATCTCACCAAATGGATATAGCATCCTGAGCTGGGAGCAGGATAATAGCTCTAAGATTAACATAGTTTTTTATTTCTTATTTTCCAGGTTTGCTTTAAGTCAGACCTCCTAGCTTGATACAAATAAAACAGACAAAGGTAAGTAGAATGCCAGCTTATAAACATGGGATGTGGCAGATCTTTTCATCTGTTAATACTATTTATAAATAACTAGTAACACTGGTTTACAGAAATTGGAATGAAGTAGAGTGAATATTTACTTGTTTGTAATACTTTATATTTTCTCTTCCTGATATCTAAAAATGAAATTCTTATGCTGTTTTTTTATTTGTGTTTGTGTGCGTGTAACATTATGATGACAAATCTGTCTACAAAGATCCATCACCAAGAAAGTAACTTGCACTTCTGCTAGCTGCAGAAAGCCCAAAACAGTTCTGCAAATTGAACCACATGATTATGAAAGGCTGAAAATTGTAGTTTTCTGTGCCACTGAAGTATTATTTAGATTTGTATTTCAGATTTAATTCAGTTCATAGCTATCTTAACTGTTATGTACAATATGTGAATGGCCACAAGAATGTTTAACATTTTACAACATGGAGTGCCAGAGGATATGACGTTTATCTATATTCTTTGGCTTTGCTGTCCTCAGGAACTGTATCAGATGGCATGAGATTGACTGACAAGCTAGTAAAAGCTGGCACCCTAGGTGGAATGTGCGATCGGCGCCCCCGCCTCCACAGCCCTCAATGGCATGACATCATCATTGGGTGCCCCGTTTAACGCGGTGCCCTAGGTGACAGCCGAGTCAGCCTATACGCACGGGCTGCCTCTGAATATTTGCATATGTATGTATTTCTTCCTGTGCTGAAGCAGATTTGTCCAGTCACTTGAAACTACCCATGTGCCATGGTTACTATTCATGGGTTCAGGAGCTACGCATGAGCCAAAGTTACTATTCTTGCTGTGTCCCTTTTGAAGCACTGCAGGAGTTGGTTCATCTTGTAGGGCCCAGTCCAGCTCCTCTTGATGTCACTGGAAAACCTCCAAGTTCAATAGGGGTTGGATAAGGCTTCTAAAGCAGAACAGAAGCTGGCACAAAGGATTATTGAGTGCACTGGAGAAGGACTAGGTAGACGTGGCTAAACATGTCCTGCTATAACAGGCCTGGGCAAAATACAGCCCGTGGGCCAAATCGGATCCACCAAGCTACTGGATCCGGCTCGCGGAGGCTGTGGAGAGCCCTAGGCAGGCTCTCCTGCTTGCGCTGTAGCCCCACACACCATTCAGAAATGCAGCTGTGTGGTGCTTTCTCTTTGAGTCTGGAGGGGAGGGGGGAAGATTCAGATGCTGCTCCTGCCCCCAGCACAATCCCATTGGCCTGTTTCTAAACAGACACTGGCCAATGGGAGCTGCCTTTGTGAATAACAGACAGCCACAAAGCACAACCCTCCTACTCACTCACTCAAGCACATGGCCGAGCAGGCAGAAACATTTTAAGCTCTGCAAGCCTTTAGCTCTGCAGGAAGGCAGGCAGGTAAGTCTCCTGGTGAGAACCCGCCTCTGGCACCTGATCCCTTCCCTTCCCCAACCCTCTGCCCCACACTCCTGCCCCGCTACTCCACATGCACCCATACCCCCTCCAAGATCTGGCACCCCAATCTCCTACCCGAGATCACAATTCCGTCCTACCCTAGGTCATATCCCAAAACCCTGCACCCTAGTTCCCTGCCATAGGTCACAACTACCTTTCTTCACCCAAACTCCCTCCCAGACTCCATTCGCCCTCCTGCACCCCAATCCCTTACCCCAAGCTCCTTTCTGCACCCACACTCCATCTCAGACCCCGCACCTCCTCCATTAATACCATGGAAGAGTGCGGCCCTCAACCACTTTCCAAAATCTTGGGAGTGGCCCCCCCCCCCATCAAAAATTATTTCCCACTGCTGTGCTACTTGAACAGACTTCTGGTTTATCCTTTTTATTTGTGTTTATAGCTCTAATTGGGCCCATGGACTGTCTTGAAGGTAGTGGAGGGGTATGGGCACACACAGACTGGCTATGTCTTAATGGTTTACATTTGCATTGAATTATAATAATACTTTCAACACAGTCAGTCTGAGTTTTTTCTGAGAGACAAAGTAGGTGAGGTGATATATTTTATTGGACCAATTTCTGTGTGTGAGACACACACAGTCAGGAACAGGCCAGCCAGTGTTTTCCATATCACTCTATATTCCAATGTACAGCTGAGTTTTCAAAGAGGGATGGGCTCAGGATGGGTCTGTGAAATAGTCAGTGGAGCTGTGACAGTGTAGAGGATCTGGCCTAAGACAGATGTTCAAAAAAGGGCAGAAAATCAAAATATATTCAGCTGATTTCCACTTTGTTGTTATTTTTCTTGTAATTCAGATATAATACAGTAAAACCTGTGCTATCCGGCATGCGTGGGGATTAGGGCGTTCCAATTATCTAAAAATCCTGGTTATCTGAGGGTCCCATCAGCCTAGGAAAAACCAATGGACAATAATAGTAAAACTCAAGTTTTAATATTAGTAGTTTTGTAGTGGGAGGCAGTTGGTCTCACATTTCTATTTTGAGTTAAAGATGATTAGTACTTCTGAAATAAAAAATTGTTAAGCCAATCATGGCAAACCAAGCCAGGCCTGTGCGCCTGAAGATGTGACAGTATTGTGGCTGGGGGCAATGCCGGATAACAAAGGTTTCTGGTTAACAGAGTGCCAGATAACAAAGGTTTCTCTGTCTCTATGTGAGCGTTGCTAGCCTGGTTATCCCTAGCTTCTCTTAACAGAGGAGAAACATGGCACATTTCAATCATTTGGACTATGAGTCACCAAAGACTCAAGAACAGACTTAACTAAAAGACTTAAGACTTGACATGACCAGGGCCTTATTTATGACAAGAATGAGGATAGTAGAGACTGTCAAGGCAGCTCATAACCATTGCGAACACCTACATCTTCACAAGAGGCCATTTATTCCGGATGCCTCAAGGCCTGATTTTCTGAGTTGCTGAGCATCTAAACTCAAGTCAGTAGGAATTACAAGTGCTCAGCACTGCTAAAAAAGAATCTCGTAAGGGCCACCTTCCAAAAGAGCAGAAAGGCAGATTTCCAAGGGCTCAGCACACACAATTATATATCGATTTTCCAACAAGATCCGATTGTGTTGAGGCACATAAAAAGTGTTCAGCACTCAGCTGCTTTGTGATTCTTATGACCAGATTTTCAAAAGAACTGAGGACGAAAGGTGGACTCAGTTTTTCTACAAATCTGGCCAATTCTCTTTGTGCCTAGCAGGAACAGAGATCATCTGAAAATCTGTCCCTAGTTGGGCTTTCAGAAACTGAACACTCAAAATTAGGGGATACTTTTGAAAATGTTGAAGCATTTGTCTTCTACCTACCCCCGCAAAAGACTTATAGGTGTCTATAATTGGTCTATATCCAGTGCAACGGCACAAATTACCTGAAATGAATAATAAAATAATTAATCATAAGGAACAATATGATAATAATTATTAATATAAACACAATTCGAAATGGCCTTGAAGCAAGCCTTGCATCTTGGCACACTGACTCTCAGGAAATTAAGATCCACAATCACATCTGGCTCTTGGTTCGCCAATGGGCTGATCCAGAGCTACAGAAGAGCCAAACACTTCTGGAACTGGGGGAATGTTCTTATGGGGAGCCAAATCCAAGAATTTAATCTCAAGCCCATCGCTAATAATAATGATTTATTTTATGTAATTTATGTTGCTATAGAAATGACGTAAATCATCCCAATAAACTACTGCTACTATTAATGTCACTGTGTTTTCTTCAATGAAATCCAAACTCTCTATCTTGGGGTTTTATCCTGACAACCATCACGGTAGTATCTGAGTGCCCTCTATGTAAAATTGATAGCAATATAGAAGTCACATGGGGACGTCATGAAGCTTCTGGACTCTTCTCTCTTTCCAGGGTCACAACTCGGCTTGGCTAGGTGTTTTTTGGGGGTATGGAACTATAAAGAGGGTTTGAAATGAATGTAGTTTATGGTGCAAAGATTTTCAATGAGAAAATTTAGTCAGTATTTTAATATACTAAACCCAGACTCAGAGCCGGCCTTTGATATGGGCGACAAAGGCTGTACCTCAGGGCAATGCGCTGATGGGGGTGCATTTGAATAGTTCCACATGACCTTACCTGGGGCCAGCCAGCTAAGCAGGAGGGCAAACACAGCAGTTAGCTCAGCCATGGCCAGGGAGTACAGATTAACTCACTGACTTGTCTCAGGTAACTCCTCTGGTCTGGTGGGAGCAGCAGCAAGTGTAGGTGCCCAAGGGACTCCCCATTTTCTCTGGGACAGAGGGGTCCTGTAGAAGCCAGTGGGGGAGTGGGTGGGGCAGGCTGTACTGAAAGAGGGTCAGGGTGGGTGGCTGAGTTGGGTGGGGTGGGGGTGAAGGAGTGTGTGTGTGCGCATGCAGCCTATCTTTGTATTCTGGCTGGCTGGGGTTTGGAGCAGCCCAGTGTAAAGCAGGTCAGGGTCCACCCTCCCTTTTCTTTTCCTTTCACCTTAAGAGCCACTTATCTAGGTCTTTTCCTTGGCTCTTCTGGCAGGACTGGTGCACTGTGCACACCGTTAGCTCTGCCAAATGCACAGTAAGCAGACCCAGGCTAACTCTGCAGCCTGCCTACTCCCATCCCATGCCTTGCCTGCAGAGAGGTGTAAGGAGGCCTTGTTCTTAAGCTAAGGCTTTTGGCTCAGTAAGGAAGGTACATTCCAAACCAGTCATTTAAACTAAGGTTAATAGCTAGGGCACCATTTCCCTGAGGCTGGGCCTAAACCCAGTCCTGTCAGTGTGAGATACTTTCCTGAGTGATAAGTATCTAGAGAAATCTGTACTTGGGAGAACTCCGGGTTTTCATTTTGCTGGCAGGCTGTCCATTCACATTGCAAGCCATGGACCTGAGTCTCTACCACAGCCATGTCATTCAGGAGTCACTCAGCGCTGTTACACTGATGTAGAACTGGGGCAAGAGCAGAGTCAGTCCAATGGGGGGTGGATTTTCCAAGGGCTCAGCATTGACTAACCTCTGCACCCAAGGAAATCAGTATGGGTCTGTCTACACTGCCCCCCGAGTTCGAACTAGGGTGGTTAATGTAGTCATACGAACTTGCAAATGAAGCCCGGGATTTGAATTTCCCGGGCTTTATTTGCATGTTGCCGGGCGCCGCCATTTTTAAATGTCCGCTAGTGCGGACTCCGTGCCCGCGGCTACACGCGGCACGAACTAGGTAGTTCGGACTAGGCTTCCTATTCTGAACTATCTGTATGCCTCGTGGAATAGGAAGCCTAGTCCGAACTACCTAGTTTGTGCCGCATGTAGCCGCGGGCACGGAGTCCGCACTAGCGGACATTTAGAAATGGCCGCGCCCGGCAACATGCAAATGAAGCCCGGGAAGTTCAAATCCCGGTCTTCATTTGCAAGTTTGTATGACCACATTAACCACCCTAGTTCGAATTAGGGTGGTAGTGTAGACATATCTTAAGTGCTTTTGAAAATCTCTTGCACAAGAACAGCCATTCTTGTGCAAAAATTTGCCTGCTGTTTATACTGCACGCACGTTCTTGCGCAAGTAAATTTACAGTCTAGCGTTGTAAAACAGGGCTTCTTCCGGAAGAGTTATTCCTCTCCCCATGAGGAATAAGCCCTCTTCTGCAAGAGGTCTTCCACAAGAGGGCAGTGTAGACAGAAAACATGAATTTCTTGTGCAAGAAGCCCCTATGGTTAAAATGACCATCAGAGCTTTCTTGCTCAAGAGAGCATCCACACTGCCATGGATGCTCTTGCACAAAAGCACATGGCAGTGTGGACACGCTCTTGTGGAAGATTTTTTGCACTAGAACTCTTCCTCAAAAGAGTTCTTGCACAAGAAGCCTCCTGTGTAGACATAGCCCTAGAGTCATACAGTTTTGAGAGCAGAAGGGACCACTAGTGATATGATCTCTTGCATATAACTCCACGAACCCTGTTAGCTCTGTGTAGAGACCATTAACCTGGATTAGAAAAATATTTCAACCCCTCAGGTGACTAAGCTTTTGTGTGCCACAAGCAGAGAACAGAAGGGACCAAGCACCCTGCCATAACAGGGAATTGATTTAGTGAGCTATATCATCAGATATAGTGCTTAGGAGTCCAACCAACTTCATGTGATTCTGAAATATTTTCCTCTGGTCTTTCAGTGAAATCACAACTTGCATCTGATGAGGTTTAACAAGGACAAGTGCAGAGTCCTGCACTTGGGATGGAAAAATCCCAAGGATTCTTACAGGCTGGGGACCAACTGGCTAAGCAGCAGTTCAGCAGAAAAGGACCTGGAGATTACAGTGGATGAAAAACTGAATGAGAGTCAATAGAGTTCCCTTGTAGCCAAGAAGGCTAACAGCATATTGGGGTGCATATGGGAGGAGCATTGCCAGGAGATCTAGGGAAGTGATTATTACCTTTTATTTGGCACGGTTGAGGTCACATCTGAAGAGTTGTGTCCAATTCTGGGCCCCTCCGTTACAGAAAGGGTGTGGACACATTGGAGGAAGTCCAGTAGAAGGCAACAACAATTATTAAAGAGCTGGAGCATATGACTTATGAGGTGATTCTGAGGGATTTGGAATTATTTAGACTACAGAAAAGAGTGAAAAGAACTTTGACTGCAGCCTTCAACTACCTGAAGGGTGGCTCCAAAGAGGATGGAGAGAGGCTCTTCTCAATGGTGACAGATGACAGAAGGAGGAGCAATGTTCTCAAATTGTAGAGGGGGAGGTCTAGGTTGGATATTAGAAAAAACTATTTGACCAGGAGGGTGGTGAAGCACTGGAATGGGCTACCTAGGGAAGTGGTAGAATCTCCATCCCTAGAGATTTTTCAGTCCCAGCTTGACAAGGCCCTGTCTGGGATGATTTAATTGGGCTTGGTCCTGCTTTGGGCAGGCGCTGGACTCAATGACCTCCTGAGGTCTCTCCAGTCCTATGATTCTATGATCTTTGGAGCATGGAAAAAAAACCCCACACTTGGCCTCCAATTTTACTTCCTAAAGTGTAAACGTAAACCTACCATCGAGAGCTGCAATTATCTGTTCCATGGAGGGTTCAGGGTGGTTCCTCAGCAAAGCATACATGGACATCACCATTCCAGGAGTGCAGAAGCCACACTGCGAGCCATGGCACTTGGCCAGCCTTTCCTGGAACAGAACAGAACAACAAGCCCTGTTGTCAAAGTACAGCTTCACTCTTGGGGTACGTCTACCCCAATAACTGACGTTATTCCAAAATAACATACTCCGTGCCTACACTACAAGCAGTTATTTTGATATAATGTGGAAAAAATGTTGAGCTGGAGGACTTCTTACTCGAACTCCTGTAACCCTCATTTTACGAGGAATAAGGGAAGTTGGAGGAAGAGTGCTTTTCCCTGGACTCCTGCTGTGTAGACAGTGCCAAAAGCCAAAATAAGTTATTTTGACTTAAGCTCCGCAGTTGACGTAGCTGAAGTTGCGTAGCTTATTTCGGCTTTAGCCCTACTGTATAGACGTGCCCTTACAGCTCTCTACAGATGCAGCTTTGCTTGTAGTGTTAAAGTTAGGAGCTTCAGCATTTGAAGTGTTACATGGAGGTTAGGTCTATTAATGGCTATTAGCCAGGGTGGGTAGGAATGATGTCCCTGGCCTCCGTTTGCCAGAGGCTGGAAATGGCTGACAGGGGAGGGATCGCTTGATGGTTACCTGTTCTCTTCACTCCCTCTAGGGCATCTGGCATCGGCCACTGTCAGCAGACAGGATACTGGGCTGGATGGACCTTTGGTCTGACTCAGTATGGCCAGTGTTATGTGCTTATGTACAGCATTACCATTGATATGTAAGAGTTGTCAGTCGTCTTAGTGAAAAACAAAGAGGTTCTTAGTTATCCACAGGCAACCTCACCAATGCCAATGGGCTTCTCCGGTGTAAATGAGAGCAAAATGAGGGACAAGACCCACCAGCACAGTGAGCAGCCTTGTATACATATCTACAAGCATGGAGGACAGAGCAAAACAAAACAGCTAATAAATTACAACTTTGCAAGGAGTGAGAGGTCCCTAGGGAACATTCCCATCATTCAGGCACTAAGGAACAAGATTATGCATGGAACTGAGAATTGTCACTAAAATGTTTTAAAATTGACTGGGGTGAGACTGTGCCTTTAAAATACAGGCCTGAGTTGGAGGAAGTGGAGATGCACCGAATCAGGGCAGCTCCCCAAAATACAGAGAGACTGTGCACCACTCTCTAATCTAATCCCTATCTTCCTAATACTTATAGGGACTCATCCCTTAGGAGCATGCTGCTGACCCAATCTGCCAGCTGGTACATAGAAAGCAGTGGGGTGACGCTCTCTGCTTTTCTCACATGGCACTGGCAGGGAGCAGTCCATGTGCTTTGAAGACTGCAATTGTACCTGAGCCCTGCACAAGAGCAGGAGATCTCTATTTACTGCACGTTCTCCCCTGTATGCCCATAAAAGGGCCAGGGACAATCTGACACTTTAAAATAGTGCCGTTCTTGTGATCAAAACCAGCAGTACCTGCTCAGGGTAGACACCCCTGGCTAGCCTTGATGTATCATTTTACAGCTTCAGATTTATCCTTTCTCCTGAAGGATCCTTTTTAGAACCAATTCTCTTCTGTTGAGGTATCTTGAGTGCTAGAGTAGAAACCAGCTCTGGGACATCTTCCCCTAGATCAGAGTTTGGTTTGGAGATTTAGCTGAGAGCTCATCTCTAAGCTCTGGCCAGGAAGATCCAGAAGCTGGGTGTCATCTCCTTAGAGCAATTTTCTACTGCAATGAACCACCAAACTCGATCACAAGGCCAGCACGCCTTGGCAGATATAGCCAGAGCACGGGAAAGGAAAAAATCCCCAAACCTTCAACTGCAAGTTACAGCGTGCTTTCACCTGGATTGGATGAACCCTCGTTTTTGTGCTTCCAACACCTTCCACAGTGGTGACAGCAGAGCCATGCAGCGAGCATATGGGTAGGAGACAGGAGTTGGCAGGGTAATGCCTTGCGCATGTAAAGGAGAATCATGACATTTAAAATAGGATAGTGCCGCTCTGCGGTGCAGGATCATGGGGAATGAAGCACCCATGGAGATTACACTCAGTTTAGTGTGGAACTGCAGGAGTTAAACAGCATGGGGACGGGGAAAGTGATGTTTCTGAGCAGTAGCTGTACATAACATTGAACTAACCTCAATACTGTGTGCATTTTAGGCCTGTACGCGGCGGGGGGAGGGGAAGGGTGTGAAAGTACCTCCCCATGACTCCCAAGTAAGTGTGCTCTGGCTGGCCAGAGGAAAGCAGGAGCGGTGCATTGCCTGAGCCTCTCTCCCCCATGTTCTGGCCAACCAGGGGAAGACTGAGGCTGATTTCCCCACTTACTTGGGGGACCATAGGGAGTACATTCACACCCTTGCGGTCCACATTTACAAAAAAAAAGCACCCCCCTCCAAAATTCCTGCATACAGGCCTGCATTCAGTAGCAACATTTTCAATATGCCCTAAGCTTTATACAACTGCCTACGTAAGGAAACGGAGGACTCACTTTTAAATACTATTTATTTATTAACTTACAACATATACTGCAATAACCGAAGGACCAGACTCAGACCTGATACTAGTAGGTGCAACTATACTAAAGTAGCTGCGCTCCCATAGACAGGGAGAGGCAAAAAACTCCACCTACAACAATGCCCGCTATGGCCAATGCCATGCAAATCTAATTTATTGTGTTAGTTACATCACACATCACTGAAATCAGTAAGAGCTGAATAAGAACTATGTGAAAAATGACGAAGGACTTATCTGGGATAACAAATCCTAGGCCAATTCAAGCAGGACTCCCAACTTTCCAGTAGCTGCTACAGAGGTCCAGCATAAAATAAAGATCTCTCCTAGCCAAGGTGGTTATCATTTGCTGAATAAATAAAGGTTTCTTGAGCAAGAGGATTTCAAGTTTCTTGAGTGGGATTTAAAATCACATCACCTATAATCATGGGACCATCCCTATGGTGTGCCATGCAGATAAAACAGTAAAGTAAAGTAAAGTAAAAAGTTTTCAAGTATCTACCAGCACCCAAGAATATAAACCTAAAATAAAAGAAAAAACACAAATAAGTGCCCTCCCAATTAACAACGGGATTCTATTAACAATCAGTTATAGCTTCCAAGGGTGTGATTTTCAAAAGTGCCCCAGTGCCTAAAACACACTGAAATTCACTCATCAAGGCACTTTAGAAAATTCAACCCCAAATCTTAGTTTAAGGATACTTTATCTTCTTGGAACTTGGTTCATATGTGGAGATCATCACAGTGCAGGCTCCACAGCCACCTGTTCCACAACCATATTTTGTTCCTGAGAGACGAACTGTAAATGCAATAGTTAAGGAAAGAAGTTGCTGCTTCTCAAAGTTGTTGCTCCCACCTCACAGACTCCTTTTCATTTTACTGGTGCATGAAAAGATGAAGGAAAATAATTAAATAATGTAGACCATCCAGGCAGGAAGAGGAACTATTCTAGGAAATAGTGAAAAAGAGTTGGTGGTGCTGTTGGATAATCAGCTGAGCATGAGCCCGAGTGCTACACTGTGGACAAAAGAGCTAATGTATGAACAGGTAAACCTTGAGCACAGGCTGCACCTCGCTAGTCTGGCATCCTTGGGACCTGACTGGTGCTGGAGCAGAGAATTTGTTAAACCACAGGAGATCAATATTGACAAGCAGCATTACCAACACTTCCACTGCTTGCTGGGCTCTTAGAAGACAGTTAGGGGTAGATTAGAGCTAAGTAATTGCACAGAACACTGAGAGCCAGGACTAGAGGCTGTAAAAAACTTTATGGGACCGTGGGAAACTTGGCCTCACCCATGATAAGTGAACATCTGGCTAACTGAAATCATGCCATACCAAGGATGTTGCTGGACCAGAGAGTGCTGGACTAGAGAGGTTCAACCTATAGAAGTAAAGAGGTTATTTCACCTGTGTATTTGGCATGGTGCAACCAATGATGAAATACTGCATCCAGTTATGATGCCCATGTAACTGGCACCTGGTGGATTTGAACGGGGATCTCTGAAGCAGAGTATAGGAGCATCTACCTGCTGAGCTAAAAGCCAGCTGCCTCCTAGGCTATGCTGTAGAGGTCTCTTGATCTTAACTGTTGCTGTGGTCTAGGTACCACTTGCATTAGACTGGCATGATTTTGCGGAAATACTTTTAACAGAAACATTTTTCTGTTAAAAGTATTTCCACAAAAGAGCGTCTAGATTGGCATGGATGCTTTTGCACAAGAAAGCTCCGATGGCCATTTTAGCCATCGGTCTTTCTTGCGCAAAAAATTAAGGTGCCTGTCTACACTGGCCCTCTTGTGCAAGTATTCTTGCGCAAGACGGCTTAGCCCTGAGCGGGAGCGTCAAAGTATTTGTGCAAGAAGCACTGAATTCTTACATTAGTGGCTCTTTTGTGCAAAATCTTGCCAGTTTAGACGCATCCTTTAGGTGTGTGGGTTACACCCACAATTAAAAAAGGACGGTGATAATTTGGAGAGGTTTCAGAGAAGAGCCACAAGAACAATAAAGAATTAGAAACCTGCTTTATGCTGATAGACATAAGTTCTTACATGGTCCTTCTTTGACTGGGGCTAGAGTCGATGACTTCCTAAGGTCTCTTCCAGCCCTGGGATTCTATGATACTGTGAAAAAATTAGGACTGTTGAACAATTAAAAAAATAATTGCAGTTAATCATGAGATTAAAAAATATTGTCAAGATTGATTGCAGTTTTAATCATAGTGTTAAACAATAACAAAATAACCATTTAATGTTAGCATGAAAGCGTGTCCTTTGGAATGTTCGCCGGCACATGAAGGGACATATAACTGTTTAGCTTATCTGCCATCTAAATACCTTGCAATGCCGGCTACAACGCCATGTGGATGCATGGTCTCACTTTTAGGTGACCTTGTAAATAAGAAACAGGTAGCATTATCTCCCACAAAAGTAAACAAACTTCTTTGTCTTACAGAAGGACTGAACAAGAGGGTAGGACTGAGTGAACTAATAGGCGCTAAAGTATTTTTAAAAATTTCAGTAATGTGAAAAACTCTATATTTGTAAATTGCATGTTCAAGATAAAGAGATTAGATTACAGTTCTTGTATGAGGTGACCTGAAAAATACTATTTTTTTGTTTATTTTTTTTACAGTGCAAATATATGTAACGAAAATAGAAATGATCACTGAACATTATGTATTGTGTGTTGTAATCAAAGTCAATATATTTGAAAAATGGCCAAAATATTTATAATAAATTTAAATTGGTATTCTATTGTTGTTTAACAGTTCAATTAAAACTGCAATTAATTACAGCTTTTAAAACATCTAGTTAATTTGTTTTCCATTAATTGCTTGTGTTAACTCCGAAGAATTGATGGCCTAAAAAATACCTTTCTCTGTTCAACTAGGTTCTTTAGTCTAACAGAGAAACGTATAACACAATCCAATGGCTAGAAGTTGAAGCTAGAAAAAAATCAGACAGGAAATAAGGTGTACATTTTTAACAGCGTGGGAAATTAATCACTGGAACAACCTACCAAGAGGTCATCACTGGCAATTTTTGAATCAAGACTGGGTGTTTTTCTGAAAGATATAATCTAAGAATATTTTGGGGGACATCCTATGATGTGTTAGATAGGTCAGACTAAATGATCAAATGGTCTCTTCTGGCCTAGAAATCTACAAATGTCTCACTGTTCAAGAGGTGGGTATTGTTCCAGTATCAACTGTTGAACACTGTCGCATTCTTAAATGAACCTCGTGGGAAGCTGCTCAGCATTTACTTCTTGCTATGCATGTTGATGCAGGACTAGTTCCTAACAAGAAAAATGACAGGAAAGAAATCATTGTAGGGCGAAGCAAAGTTAAGAAAAATGAGAGCCTTTTCTCTTCTGAGACTGTATGGAATGAGGTTCTCTGGCTACAATTCAAAGCATACGAAATATATTAGTTTTGAAATTGTAAATTATTGATGTAGTAAGATTGAGAGCCTGAAACATAGGCCCATGTATCACGGGCCTGGTGTAAGGCCTGAGGCCTAGACAACAATGGTCAAGACTTTGCTAATATAAAACAAAGAGAAGTACTAAGCACAGGCTGTGAGCACATTCCAGAGGGGTTGTAATAGAACACTTGGGGAAGAAACATCTTGGTACCAACACCCCCTCGCCCTTCCCCTCCCAACAGATAACAGGAACATACTGACCCAGGTTCAGGACAGGGTCTAAATTGACAGCATGATAGATATTGATCAAACCCCTATATATAAGGTAATGGGTGGCAGGTAACATCTGAGGGTGGCAACCTGATATGTCAGGAGTGATGTGTAATTTGTTGGTACTTGCGTATAACAGTGTACCCGAAGAGTTTGTCCACCCTAGGAAGCAGTGATGGATTCCCATGTCACTGAGTTGTGTCCATTGTCAGGGGGTACGTATGCGTAATGGTTCAGTGGAGTCCACTGACAACTATTACAGTACTTCATTTGACAATAAGCTTGGCCTGGTGCCATCGATCCTTATCTGATTTTGTGGTCTTTGGGGGTTTTCTTGGAGTCTGCTGTGTTGGCTATTTGTGCAAGCCTACACAACACACAGAAGAGCACAGCTGAAAGGTTATCTTCATAAACAGAGCAGGAGATCTGTTAGGATGCCACACCAGAGAATCCTGACTACTACAATTGGGAAGATGCCAGTGAAAAGATCAAAAATTCTTAACCAGTGCCTACCTTCAACTACTGCAGACCAAGGAAGATTTCTCAGTAGACACATTGAAAAAGTGATTCAACTCTCGGTCTTTCTACAAGGCTCTAATCTTTAAAGTCATAAGCATCTGCTTCTGCTTAATTTCACGCATCTTAGAGCAGATAAAACAACTGGAATAAGTTGTCAGAACTTCATTGACTTCAGTGGAGCATCTGGCTCTGTGAGGAGTCCCACTGACATAAAAATAAACACATCAGTGTTCCCTCTAAGCAGCGTAGCAGTCCAGCTTCGCAAGTGATTAATCAGTCCCGCCCAGTCAGAGGCTAAGGGCTCCTTGCAAGGAGCTGACTGACTGGACGGGGCTGATTAATCACCTGTGAAGCTGTGCTGCTGAAGCACATATGTAAGTTTTGTCAGGACAAGGGTCTAAATGAATTGCATGACACTGTAATAACTTCATATTATTTTTCTTAACTAGTATACCATTATTAATACATAACGTTTCGAAAATATTTATATAGGCTTTTCAAGCTGTAATGAATAATTGTATTTGGTTTTGGTAATATATTAAGTTCTATAGAAATGCTTGTATGCACAAAGTAGAAACCTTCACCACATATAATTAGTGCAAATATTGCACATGTATCACATTGCCCTGTGGCTAGTGGCTCAAATGTAGGACCTGGGAGTTTGGAGAGGACTATGTTAAGGTAGAACTGGCTGACAAACTTGTGGAGACAGTCTATATGAGCCTTTTAGAAACCGAACCACCAAGTGGTCAGAAAATACCATATGCCAGGGATGTTGCCATGGCAGCCAGGCGCATACTTATAGATGAGGTGGAAGGGAATTGGTGCTTCAGGTAAAGGAGGTACTCCAATATCAGAGGATTTGTTGTTAATGTGGAAGACGAATTTAACTGTGAGGCCCAAGTGGAGAATTTCTTCCACTTAGCCAGATAGGTGGCCCTTGCAGAGTGTTTTCTATTACCCATAAGGACTTGACAAACCTGATCTAGCAAAAGATGGATCGAGAGGGGGATCTGGTATGCCATTCTCGAGTGCACCTTCACACATTTTGCTTTGAACCAGAAGAAGGTTTGGACTGGTTAGAGCCTTTTGATGAGCTTCACTGGGACACTTGAGGCACTCTATATGAGGGTCACTCTTTGGCACAAGCTTGACAGCTTTAAAGCCCAGGGACCAAGGCATGCCCACGTCTGGAGAGAAGGAAAAAGAACAGGGCATCCCCTAACTATTTACAAGTAACCACTATTAACAAACGATAACTATTAACTATAACAACTCTAAACTCTAAACTGAAGCTTCTCGGAGCCCTTGCAAAATAGCAAGAGTGAGTTGTTCTAGCTGTTGTCACCCAACAACAAGAAGGAACCGGGGAGTTGGCGTGTCAGCAAGGCTAAATACTGAGTGCCACTGCAGGGGGTGCTTATGCTGACTCGACGGTTGCTGCTACACAAAATCTTCCAGCTTCCATGTGCAGGTACATCTACATTGGAAAGCACATGAAGAAACGCTTGAAGAAGAACCTCTGGGGGGTGAGGGGCTGGGAGTGTTAGTCTATTGTAAGATTACACCATTCGAAAGCAACTCCCCCAAAAGGATACGGCCCTTTCTCAGGTAAGACAACAGCAATTCTTCAGGATCTGCATTCCTCTCTATTATCTGCAATAGGAAATGAAATAAGAGATTATACATTATTGATATGTGATGCAAGTTTCCCATTGGGATTACCTGGCCTTTCTGAAATGTTTTCATTGGCTAATAACAATGCAATTGTGTTATGGCACGCACCTTTCATTTGCTCATAATCTGTAAACAGGTGAATGTATTTCACAATAGAAAATTCAGCTTTGTATTGACAGCTGAAGAACTAGCAATGTTGTGGGAGGACTGGAAGGCTCACAGTGAGGAGAGGCTGAGAAGTAACAGAGGCTTGTGAAAAGGCATGCGAAGGCAAGAACTTTAGAGCCTGATCCTGCAATTGATTACACCATTGTAAATCAGGAGTCGTTCCACTTGAGTCAAAAGGCGTACAATGATGTAAAGAAAATGGGGATGAAAACAGAATTGGGGTCCTTATTTTGAAAGCTATGGACTTTTGTGGGTGAAGGGAATGAAAAACACAGTTTGGGGATCTTTGCATGGCCCACTGAGGCAGAGGAATGAAGCCAAGCGTAGCCAGTTCCTCAGAGACTACAGCAGGAAGATGCAAGAAATTCTCAACACAGTGAGAGCAAGAAGGGGAGTTGGATTTTAAATCAACCAGTTTTAAGTTTAACAAAGTTCACTGTTGATTTTATTTTTCAGGGGCTCCATTAGCTGAGCAACAGGACTGTGTGAAGGATGTGGCTGTTGTAATGGCATGCCCCATCATGCTGGAAAACGAGTACTAATGAGAACCAAGAACGGAAAGATTGGTGGGTGGAGGGCAACATGGGACCTCACTGGAGAATGACAAGCTTGTCCTGGGGCATTTAAAGACACCATAATAAAACTTCAGCTTTGCTATGGTATGGGGTAGACTGTATTTCAAAAGGGAAGGGATTATTGGACTTCCAACCTTCAATGAACATGCCCAGGTAAACACTTTCCCTTTTCTATGACAGGGAAATAAGATTGGATACAACGGATATAGCTACACTGCACACTGAAGTCAGGCTCTGACTCAGGTCTTAGCTCAACAATCCCTTTTGCCCACGCACAAATCAGTTTAACTCAGATCAGCAAGCACCCAGGACTGGCTACTAGGACATTGCTGGGCATGGGGGAGAGATGGATTAGACCCTGAGCCCAGCTGTGACGGAGGAATTTATTAAAAAATGGAATTTTTAATGACATAACTCAGGGCAAAAAGAAAAGGTGAGAAAATAAATGTACTTGGAAAGGAAGTATTAGATTTCAGCTGTCACTCACTGTTCAGAACAGAGGCAAGTAAAGAGTCTATTTCCACTGACTGATTTTTTAAAAAAAAAATAGTAACAGCATGGGACCATCTTGCTATTGCTCTATTTTCTCCAAATATAACATATTACAGATCTTGATAGCTTTAGGTTTTAGTAAATTGCTACATTAATTACAACAGGTCACTGGTGCTATAGAAAATATTCTCAATACATTAAGACACCTCCTTTCAAAAATAAAACACCAAAAGTCTTACCTTCCTGCCATTCACAAAAAATATGAGTGCATCTGAGTGTGTGGAGCAAGCCATTAGATGGCGTAACAGTGCAGCTTGGAAGTTAAAGAGGAAGCTGTTAAACACCAGCAAAAAATCAATGCAAGCAGGTGTAATTTCAACATCCAACTAAACTTTGTTCTGTGCCCCACAGACATAAAAGCATCAAACTGGATCGATGAGGAGGAGCCAAAGAGGAGTATATTGCTTCTCAGCTCTGTAGGCTAAAATGAACCAATTGGGTCCTTTTCCCTACCTTATCTGTCATGTACTAATGTGATTTAGGTAGAATATGGAAACCTGAGCCTTCAGAAACAATGCAGGTACTTGTTTTTCCTGCATGAACTGTTCTGTTAGATGAAGAGCCACAAGGGCTACGTCTAGACTGGCATGATTTTCCGGAAATGTTTTTAACGGAAAAGTTTTGGCAGGACGCTTTTCTGCAAGAGCACTTTTTGCGGAAAAGCGTCCGTGGCCAACCTAGACGCACTTTTGCCCAAAAAAGCCCCGATCGCCATTTTTGCCATCGGGGCTTTTTTGCGGAAAACAAATCTGAGCTGTCTACACTGGCCCTCTTGCGCAAAAGTTTTGCACAAAAGGGACTTTTGCCCGAACGGGAGCAGCATAGTATTTCCACAAAAAGCACTGATTTCTTACAGTAGGAAGTCAGTGCTTTTGCAGAAATTCAAGCAGCCAATGTAGACAGCTGGCAAGTTTTCTGGAAAAGCGGCTGATTTTCCAGAAAACTGGCCAGTCTAGACACAGCCAAGATGTTATTCTTCCTAGACAGTCTCAGGAATTTTGCAAATAAGAAACTCTAAACTAAGCATCTAAGTCAGTGATGAGCAACGTAAGCTAGTGTGTGGGCTGCATGAGTGGCTCTCCTTCATCTCAGAGGGCCACAAGACTGATAACCAAGATGGTCTCCTGGGCTAGGGTAGTTTTGTAAACTACATTTGCACAACTAGAATTTGTGGGAGGTGCCCATTGAACTGTAGCAGTGCTTTGAGGTAGCGTATGGCTCTTACAGGCAATGTTGCATGCAATCAGCATGCACCTCACTTCATATGCCCTTGCTTTATGGGTATGTCTTAGTTCAATAATCCCTTTTGCCCACAGACAAATCAGTTTAACTCAGATCAGCAGGCACCTATGACTGTCCTTCAACTTCCTGAAGGGAGGTTCCAGAGAGGATGGAGAGAGGCTGTTCTCAGTAGTGACGGATGGCAGAACAAGGAGCAATGGTCTCAAGTTGCAGTGTGGGAGGTCTAGGTTGGATATTAGGAAAAACTGTTTCCCTAGGAGGGTGGTGAAGCACTGGGCTGTGTTACCTTGGGAGGTGGTGGAATCTCCATCCCTAGAGGTTTTTCAGTCCTGGCTTGACAAAGCCCTGGCTGGGATGATTTAGTTGGGATTGGTCCTGCTTTGGGCAGGGGCCTGGACTTGATGACTCCTGAGGTCTCTTCCAGCCCTAGGATTCTATGATCCTGTGTCAGTTTATTAATATGAGTAGGAAAAAAGGACGCGGAGAGAAACCAGTGTAATTTGGCAACCCTGATAAACAAAGTGTCTGGCAGGCCTCACATAGAACTCCAGTGGGCTGCCCCTCACTGATCTATGTGGTCTAGAACAGAGGTTCTCAATCTTTTTCTGTCAGAGGCCCCCCAGCCTTGCTTCTTAAACTGTGTTCTGCAGAACACTGGTGTTCTGCGGAGAACTCACAGGTGTGCCGCGACCATTTGAGGAAAAATAGCACTGCTAGAGTTGCTGAGATGCAGCAGGTGGTGCGAAGGGCAGAAGAGGTGAGCGAGTGGGGACACGGCTGGAAATGAGGTGGGGCTACCCACATTCCTCCTCATGTGCTTCTGTGCCCGGCTTGCAACCGCCTGGGAAAGCTCCACGCCTCGGTTGCACCCCTTGCCAGAGGGGGGGAACATTGCAGGGCCAGCAGCACGGCTGGCTCTGATTGGCTGTCTCCGCTGCTGGTCTGGGGATCCTGTCGGCCAGGGGAGAGAACTGCCCTACAGCCACCACCCTGACTGGGTCTTTGCACCGCTGCCTTTAGCCCTCACTTTGTTACCCAGGACAGCCGAGGAGGGCCAGTACCGTCCACCCTCTTGCACAGACAAGGGCCTTCCCTTCAGTATTCTGTGTCAAAAATAATAGAGCCAGGGGCTAGAACTATTGAAGGACAAAACATTAAGCAGTAAGGGACCTACTGTAAATTGGGGGGCAGGTGTAAGGCCTTCAGTGTCCCTAATGCTGACATGGCTGCTATGGCTGCTGTCAGTCAGCTGCTTCACATTAACCTGTGCTTGATAAGGTATTGAATTTATTATTTCCATCAATATGAGTAAACAGAGTAAATTACATTTCCCTATTGAAAAGGCAGAAGTGAGTAAAAATAGTATTGCTGAGGAATCAGTACCTTTAACTAATGAAGTATTCTTAAACATTTCCACTTCTTAATGTAGCACATTTTCCCCAGAACCAAAAAGAAGAAAATGGTATGGCGAAAATATGATCCTGCATACCTAGCGTTTGGATTCACATATAAAGATGTTGCCCATAATGTATTATTCGCTTGGAGATTTTGGGTAATAGCTCTATGGTTCCATCAAAACTTAAAAGGCATTTGGAAACAAAACACCAGCAATATCAGAATATGCCAATTGATTTTTTTAAAAGAAAAGAGTGAACTGAAAGCTCAGAAGAAACTGATTCAAATTATGGGAACTGGAAATGAAGCTGCCTTCAAAGCGTCCTTTCTGATATCACTTCACATTGCAAAATCAAAGAAAAATTTCACCATAGGGGAAGACTTAATTATGCCTTGTATTTTGGATGCAAGCCATGCAATTTTGGGAGATGAAGTTGCCAAAAAACTGAAAACAATTCCTCTTTCTAATGCGATCATTTCAAATCGCATAATTATGATGAGCGAAGACATTAATCAACAACTTAAAAAAAAAAGTCAAAGATGTATGCTGTGCAAGTGGATGAGTCGACTGATATTGTTAACAAAGTTATGCTGCTTATCTATGTGCAGTATGTAGACTGGGATGAAGAAGAAATTAAAGAAGAATTCATGAGCTGTCTGGAATTGAAAAAACAGACAATTGGCACCGAAATATTTTCAGCATTGGCAGATTATTTCTTAAGTGCTGATTTAAAAATGTCAGACTGTGTTTCAGTTTGTACTGATGGTGCGCCTAATATGACTGGTAGGCAAGAAGGGTTAGTTGCAAAAATGAAACAAGTAACGCCAAATATGCAAGGGACACATTGCATTATACATCAAGAAATGTTAGCAAGTAAAATTGCCGAATTAAATCAAGTGCTAATAACAGCTGTGAAAACAGTCAGTTTCATAAAATCCAGCACTCTTATTTCACGACTGTTTGCAATCTTATGCGATAAAATGGGATCCACACACAGAACTTTGAAATTGTGCTATCTTGCAGACATATTCCAGCTTCTGAATGAGTTAAACATGTCTCTTCAGGGACCACATAAAACTATTTTTAACACCTATAATAAAATTGAAGGGCAAAAGAAAAAAATTAAGCTGTGGATTGAAAGAATTGAAAACAACTGTTTTGATATGTTTAGTGCCTTAATGGAGCTTATGAATGAGGCAAAAGAGAAGAATGAAGATTCCAATTTTTCTCAGCTTAATCTAATTATTGTTAATCACTTGGAAATGTTGTCACGCCAATTCGAGAAGTATTTCCCTGCAAGCCAAGATCCAAGGGAAGATTTTTTGTGGGTTTTGGATCCATTCAATTTCACTAGCCAAACAAACACCATATGTATGAATGAAAAGGAGAGGTTGGCAGATCTACCCTCAGATGTCACGTTGAAAAACTTGAAAAACAATTCATCATTTGAAAAGTTTTGGGCAAAAGTCCACAGCGAATACAACCTGTTAAGTGAAAAGACATTGAGGGTCTTACTTCCTTTTCCTGATGTAAGCCGGGGCTGAATTACTGTATGCTATCACCCAGCTAAAGGGAGAGAGCGGCCCTGGGGGTGGGTGTGCTCACTCACAATTGTTTAGCTCTGCAAGATAATTAGCTGTTGATATGTAAATATAGCTCATGCCAGGAGGGGGAAGGAATCCGAAGTGTGGTTATGTAAATCCAATTCAGCCAGGGCTGATGGAGGATCAGTGTTGGAATGGGATGTGGTATATTGTAAATAATTTGGGACTGTTGTGGGGGTCACAAATCATGCTACCCCTAAATGTGGGAACTGTCAAATATGACACCATCATTGATTGCAGGAGAGACACCATTATTGTAAGAAGTCTTAGAGGAACAAGCCTCCCCCCAGCCAGAGTTGAGTGGGGGTGGAGGTGGAGGTGGAGGTGGGGGGGAAGACTTGAGGGCTTGAGTCAGCCCTCAGACTCTGAATCCGAGGGGCAGGGCCATATAGCAAAGTGGGAACTCGGCTCGTGTCCCAGGGGAGCCAGGCTAATGACAGTGTCTGTGTCCAATCACAGATGATTAAACCCTAGGTCCACAAGCCTGTCCCATGCTATATGCTGTGAGTAGGATCTGTGGAAACTCATCTCCATGGGCACAGCAACCAAAAACAAAATAAGGCCCATGGTGTGTGTCTCAGAGCAGTCCCTTCACTAAAACAGAAAGTACCCAGTATTTGCACTGGCGCCTTAGTGAAAGAGACTCTGGCCATTGACTCACCTAACAGGGGAATCCATGGCCTAGTGGCACAATGGGAACGCTTGTACTGATTTCAAGGACCAAAAGAATTAAAGATGTTATATAAAATTTCCACTGTCCAGCATTAAAACAGTGATATTTAAGTTTAGAGACACTTTATACAGAGGCCTTGGTTTCGCTTGTCTCCTCGGCGACCACCCAAAACCATTCATTCTGATGTTGGGTTTCATTTCTGAACTTTCAAGAAATTAGAACAAGAATTTCTAGTGAAAATGGAATTGTGTGGTCTCTCTTTCATTAAAAGTTTATTTTTAACACTCAGGGTATGACTACACTAGCCCCCTAGTTCGAACTAGGGAGGCTAATGAGGGTGACTGAAATTGCAAATGCAGTGTGGGATTTAAATATCCTGCGCTTCATTAGCATGTCCCCAGGCGGTCACCATTTTGGAAATTGACTAGCCCGGAGTAACTGCCCGCCTCTACATGCGGCAGTGAAACAGGCGTTCGAAGTAAAGCCCTTAACTCGAATTAGCTGTTAAGCCTCATTCCAGGAGGAATAACAGCTAATTCGAGTTAGGGCTTTACTTTGAACTCCCGTTTCACTGCCGCGTGTAGACGCGGGCAGTTACTCCGGGCTAGTCAATTTCCAAAATGGTGACCGCCTGGGGACATGCTAATGAAGCGCAGGATATTTAAATCCCACACTGCATTTGCAATTTCAGTCACCCTCATTAGCCTCCCTAGTTCGAACTAGGGGGCTAGTGTAGACATACCCTCAGACTCTGTGCTTGTGAGTGGGGAAGCATTGCCTCTCAGAGGCGCCCGAGGTGTGTGAATTTCCTAGGCTACTGGGTGGGGGCTCAAGCCAGTTCTGTGAGAGCTGGACCCCTAGATATTGAACCTGGTCCTGGTTGCAGTAGGGCCTACCCCGTGGAAGGGTTACACTTCAACATATCTTTGTGAAAGTGGATTTTCAGCAGTCACTGCAATCAAGACCAAATATCGAAATAAGTTGACTGTTACACCTACATTAAGACTTTCTTTAACAAATCTGCCCTGTGGAGGGGATGCAGTGGCCAGGCAGAAGAGATTCCCAGTTTGGGATCATTCCTGCATAGGGGGATGCCCTGATCAGAGTGAAGGGAAGAGAAACCCTCCTCCACTGAGACAATTCTCCCCCTTCCCCATGTCCTGTAACATGTTGGTGGGGTGTAGTGTAAGCCATAAGTGGGCCTGCAGGGGTTAAATTTGTGTTCTTCTAGGCCAGCCTTGAGGACTGCTAGCGAAAACACCAGGTGTTCTTTATCAGATGGCTTTCACCAGCCAAAACTCCCCTTGTTAGTTCGCTGAGAACCTCATATGGGATAAATAACATGACCTCAGCTCTCAGCCCCGTGGGAACGGTGAGAGTGGCATTGGGCCAATTCACGCACACTGGGTAAACAGATGAAGTATAAGATCACTGGGAGTCCCGCCCCTCTGGGAGTCTCACCAGGGACCTGGACCTCAGAGGGTGCCCTGGAGCCACGTCCACTGCTGCCTGGTGCGAGGTGACTGGAATGGGACTCCCCTCAGACTGACGGGGCATAAACATTTCCAAGTGCCTGTTGCTCACTTATATGCATTGCTTTGCCTATGCTTATTGTTGTATTACTTTGCAGTAGCTGTGTAATCATTTGGCAGTATTAAGCCTGTAATAGTCGTGATGAGGTGAGATTAATAAAAGCAACTATCCCTAATTGACTCTGTCTTGAAGCGAATAGACAATCCTGTTGGGCCCTGTGAGTTTACAGGGGGGGTGTCTCCCATTCAAGGGGAAGGAACAGGGGAAAGGAACCCCGGGTCTTACACATGGGGTAAGCTTACACCAGCTTACTGAAATACAGAGTTGACCCAATCATCTTCAACTCTATTGAAAATGGTCTCAAGTCACAGAAAATTGTACAATAACCTCCAAAACGAAAACATTTACCTTAAATACCAGTCTTCTGCTCTGTTAGATGCCAGGAGTACTGACCAGATGTTTTAATAGACGCAGGGTCTGTCAAATAAAAGCTGGGTCATTAATACAAGCCGGGATCTTGGATGGTTTGTACTATAGATGCTGGGGGGCTTCTATTGAAAGTTTTATGGTAGTGTATAATGGCGTCCTAGTGACCAGGAAAAGCAAGGCAGGTGACATTGAAACAGATGCCAGTTGAAATTTTTCTTAAATCTAGAGGTGTTGTGGAATATATCCAGTGAGCGACTTGTGCTGGCCACGCTGGACTCTGTCACCCCTCGGCTGGGTTTGACTTAAACTAGAGTATCCACCGGCTAGCCCCGCTCGCTGTTAGTGTGCCGCCTTGGGCCCCGCAAACTCTTTGGCCAGGCCTGATTCTGATCCACCCAAGATATAAGACCACCGCTAGCAGAGCAGATGTTTGGGTTCTGCCTGTTTGGAGTTAACGGCTATTGGTTTATTTAGTGTTGGTCATTGTCTTTAAAGTTCTGGGCAGATTCTGGCTGAGAGATTCCCTCATGGCAGCTAATATTAAATGGCTGCCCAGTGTAAAGGCTCCTACTTCAGGAAATCATTCCCCTTTTTGATCTGCTGATGCCAAGTCTAACAAACTTTGGTGCATGATGCAAAGTGCTTCCTTTTGATTTCTATTATTTCCTGACATGAGATGGTGAGTCACAGTGGTAACGATCCCCACTGGGGACAGTGATGCGGAATGCATGGCTATATAACTTGGGAAATATACACCCAGAGAAGCTCTACAAAAACCGTGAATTGATAGCCCTGGAATCTGAAGCCTGAAGCCTACACAGGGGAACGTACACCGAGACCACTAACAAGGGCATCACTTAGGACCCAA